CTGCTTGGCCTTCTCCAGGCGAGCCGCTGGCTCCCGCGGCTTCGGCCGCTCCTTCCGCGCCCCCGCGCCCGGATCCATGGCTGCGACACGCGGGGTCACCCGGGGACCCCCGACCTGCCCACATGACCCCCCATGTCCGTGACACCCCTAAACTACCGAGGCTCACATGGGGTGCCCAATGGCATCCTCACAGGGGACTCCCCCCAAATCCATCCTGGGCCCCAGAAGTGACCCCCAAATGCATCTTAAGCCTCACAGTAGATCCTCAACCCCATCCTGAGCCTCCAAGGAGACACCCCCCCCCCAGCACATCCTGAGCCTCAGAGTGTCCCTACAGACACTCTGAGCCCCACAGGCCCCCCCCAAGGCTTCTCCCCGCCAGCCTCCATTCCTCAGCCCCCTCAGCGGCCCCATCTCCTCACACTTCGTCCCCAGTACCCCGCCCGCTGTCGGTCCCAGAGCACACCCAGCCCCACAGACATCCCTATCCCAAAGCCCCCCAACCTCCTCTCCGTCCTCACAGACCCCCTGCACCCCATTGCCCATAGAGACCACTGACGCAAGCCTCGCAGGCCCCTCAAAGCCCTCTCCATCTCCCTAGCCCCTCATAAATCACAACCCCCTCAAACTCCACCACCACCCTCAGTGCTCTGCAAGGCACCCGCCGTGCTCCACAGCCTCCTCCAAACCCACAGGCATCCCAGTCCCACAACCCCCAGCTCTCAGTGCCCAACAAGGTCCTCCCCAGGCCCACAGTGACTCCCTCAGCCCCCTCCAAGGCCCCGGTGCCCACTCACCCCCCCAGCCAAGCCCCTCAGGCCCCTCGCTCCCCCAGCCTCCCGGTGTCCCCCCGCGCTCCGCGGTACCAGAGGGGCTGTGCCCGGGGCAAGATGGCAGCGCACCCCTTCCGCCTTTCGGCGCTCGATTGCCCGCCCTGGGCGCACGCGCGGAGCCCGCGGGCCGGGTGCCACAGCGCCGCCTGGCGGGCGGGCGCGGGGGCTGCTCCCAGCGTCCCCCAGAGCTCCACTGTCCTTGACTCCCCAGCGCTATGTCCCACCCCTACACATCACCCCCCACAGCCCACCCGTACCTATCACTCCTTTACCTAGCGTTCCTCTAAATAGCCCACCGCTATGTATCACTAAATATCCATATACAGCTCATGCATGTACAGTTTGCCCCCTATATATCTCCCCTCTTATACCATACTCCTGATGCAGCCCAGGTCCTAAACATAACTCCCTTGTATCACTCTACTGTATAGCCCAGCCCTATGTATCACTGCCCCACATAGTTCACCCACTAGATATCTTCCTCCATATATCATACCCCTATAGAGTATCCCTCTATGTATCACACCCCCCCATACAGTCCAGTCCCTACATATAACACCCCCATACACCATATCCCTATATAGCCCACCCCAACATATCACACCCCCTGTATAGAGCAGCCCCTCTGTATCATATCATAGCACACAGCACCCCCTCCTGTATAGAGCCTACTCCCCATACATCACACTCTCTGTACAGCTCACCCTACACAGCCCAGCTCCCATACATTCCCCCCCTGAACATTCCAATACACGCAGTGTCCCCTATATGGGCACACAGAGCCCTGGCTAGGCTTGGGACACCGTGGGACATTGTGGCACAGCACATATGGCGTGGAACAGCAGGGCACGGTGCTGTACATGTGGCACACGTCCCAGTACATGACCCCTGACACGGTATGACACCCATGGTACCCCCTAGCACAGTGAGAGACCCCTGCCATGGCACAGCCCACCATGGGACAGTGCCACAGAGCAGGGCACAATGGCCCTAGCACAGTGTGGCATCCCGAGCATGGTTACAAACCCCTGCTGTGGCACCCCACGGTGCTCCCAGCCCAGCACCCCCACCTGGGGCTCTCCACCACCCAGCCCCTTCTCTCCAAATCCTTTATTGCCATGTCCCAGCCCCCCACACTGGGATTCCCTGGAAGCACAGGGCTGAGAGAAGTGGGTGGAATGTCGGATCCTGCCCAGCACCAGGACCAGTTCCTGGAGTGGGAAAACACCCGGCAGGGTGGGGGGACACCCCAAAAACCCCCATTAGATACGGACAGTGTTGATCCGCAGTGGCTGGACATTCTTCCCGTTGGCATGGCTCTGCCCAGGGCTAAAATACGAGCACAGCTTTCCAGGAAACCTCTCTCGGAAGGTGTAGAGCCAGGACATGTCGTCGGCATTGTAGAAGATGAGGAGCCCCTTGTCGTAGTCCAGGAAGACACCCACCTTCTCCAGCTTGCCCTTGACGTTAAGCCGCGTCCAGGGCTCAGTGCAGGCGCTGTACTGGTTCCCATCGTGCATCACGATGCAGTAGAACCCACGGCTCGGCTGGATCTGGATGCTGCCCTTGCGGGTCACAGCCTCATGGGCCAGGCCGATCATCCACTGGGTTTTTTCAGACACCACCACCTCCCAGTAATGCACGCCAGCGCCAAAGGCCTCGGAGCCCAGCACCGACACCTCCACATCAAAGCGCCGGGGCGAGTCCTGCAGCGGCTGTGGGTGCAGGTTGCCGTAGGCCACAATGGTGCAGTCATCTGACAGGATGAGGCGGTGGTGGGCAGTGCCGGGGTCCAGCGTCAGTGCTGCTGGCACTGGTTCAGCAGGGACAGGGGGAATGACGGTTAGTGCAGCCCTGGAGCCAGCGCAGCTGCTCTGTCCCACCAGGGTGACAACCGGCATGGGGGCAAGGTCACCAGGGTGGCCCTGTCCCCATCCCTCACTAGGGTGTCCTGTCCTAATGCTCATCCTTTGTCAGTGATGTCCCTATCCCTCACTGGTGTGTCCCTGCTCCTCATCACTGACGTCCCAAGCCCTTGGCAGTAACATCCCCATCTCTTGCCAGTGACATCCCTGTCCCTCACAGGTGATGTCCCCTTCCCCATCCCTCACTCGTGTGTACCTGACCCTCACCGGTGTGTCCCTGTCCCTGGTGACCTCCCCATCCCTTGCCACTCCCCCATCCCTGCACCCTCACCAGGATGGATGTCCTGGAAGAGGGATTTCCAGATGGTGTACTGCAGCGGGCCCATGTATTTGGAAGTAGGAAAGTCCTCATAGGTCAGGTTGGTCTCGTGGATCTTTCCCTTCAGCCTGCGGAGAACACACAGTGCCGAGGTGGGGGTGACACCAGGGATCCCGCCATCCCCTCACTGCCACCCACCTCTCAGAGAGGGACGCCACACCGGCCAGGAAGACGTGCTTATCCGCCTCGGCCAGGCGCTCCTGCAGGATCTGGGTGCCCTCCTGGACCTTGCGGAGCTGCTGGCTGTAGCGCTGGATCTTGTGCTCGATGTCACTGAGAGTCCGCGCCGTGTCAGCCTCCAGCTCCTCCAGCATCGCCTTCTGCCGCTCCCGCAGCAGCCGGTGCAGCCGCTCGAACGCCTCCCCGATCGTCGCCCGCAGGCTCTTGGCTGAGGACTTGGGGTGCAATGAGGGATTAGGAGCACCCAAAGCTCTGCTGGTCACTCCATGAGTTCCTTAATCCCCAAATAAATATCTAAAAGGGCATCAGATCAGGGAATTCTGGGGGCTACAAGGGTGCATTTGATCTTGCACCCTTAAAAAATGGACTAGAAGGATCCTAGAAGAACCACCCAAAGAGCCTTCCAAAGAACTCTAGGAGAACCTCCCCAAAAAACCCTAAAAGAACCCTAAAAAACCTCCCAAATAACCCTAAAAGAACTCTCCCAAGAACCCTAAAGTAGCCCTAAAAGAACCTCCCGAAGGACCTAAAAGAACCTCCCAAAGATCCTAGAAAAGGACCCTAAGGAATCTCCCCAAGAAACGTAAAAGAACCCTAAAAGAACATTCCAAAGAACCTTAAAACAAGCTCCAAAAGAACCCTGAAAAAACCTCCCAAAAAACCTTTACAAGCTCGTAAAGAACCTTTGAAGACCCTTGAAAATCCCTAAAAGTCTCCCTAAAACTCTCTAATAAACTCTAAACGCCCTCAAATTACACCTTAAAAACCCCTAAAAAAATCCAAGAAACCAACCTAAACTAAAACAAAAAGCCCCTAAAATAACCTCTAAAACCTTAAAAAATCCCACCTCAGTTGCTGGTGGGGATGGGGAGAAAACTGAACCTCACTGAGCACTGAAACCCTGAGTGAGGAGATAATTAATTAAATTAATTAAAAAGATAAAGCAGCACTGCAGGAAATTACAAAGGGATGAGCAGCCCCATTGAGGTACCACATAAGGAAAAACTGGGGCAAATCCAAGAAATTGTAGTTTTGAGTGTTTAGAAGTCCCAAAACCAGGCTGGTGACGGTCAAGGTTGGAGTATCATTGGGGTGGCAATGAGGTTAACCCCAATTCTGCTTTGAGGGTCTGTGAAGGGCTGGGGGAAAATGTGGGGTCCCCAGAGGTGACAGTGGTTGTCCCCACATGTACCTTGGTCTCAGCGAGCTGCTTCTTGAGGAGCTGCAGGGCTTCCGTGTGGCCACGCTCACTCTCCTGCAGCCCCTGGAGTTGCTCCTTCAGCTCTCGCTGGAAACGGAGGGAAAATCCACAAATAGGTGATTTGGGGGAAAAAAGGTATCCCACAGGGAGTTTTTCCACCCAAATCAATCATGGGGTTATGGGGCCGGGGGATGGCCAGTCCATGGGTGGTCCCTGTGAAATGAGGGTCCTGCTTGGGGTGGGGGGCAACAGGTCCTAGATTAGAAGGTTCTACCTGGGGGGTAGCTCAGCCATGGGGTGATTTGAGGGTTCTCAATGACTCCCAGTGGCAATGGACAAGGGAGATCCCAGGGGGACAGTGACAGAAGTGTGGATGGATGGATGGATGGATGGAAGGAAGGATGAGGGCATGGGGCTGACCCTGATGCAGACAAAAGGGCTGTGGGGACAGACAGACAGATGGGAGGAAAGCATGGAGCTG